CTTTTGTTTTTGTGTTTTTTTTAAACACCATTATCTATGTCAGAAACCGAGACACAGAAAAAGCAATCACATAGAACTGGAATGACCCTAAAATTTGTACCTTTAGATCCACGGAAGAGCTGTCTGCCACATGAACTAACCGAATAAGCAGTAGTCATAGCAGGTTTTGTGAAGTACTTTTTAGAAGGGGTTAGGAAAACACCTTGCCACAAGATTTCACAGAAAAGTAACCAAGAGATTTGGAGCCTCAACATCCATGCCCAGCTGTTTTCTTGGAGTATTACACAGTTCTGTACTTGTGGCACAGACTGCTCCTCGCCAGTATTAAAAATTCTCCTTTCAATCTCATGGCTCTCAAAGTGAATATAGGGAGAGTCCAGCTCAATCCCCAGTATTTAGTCCTGTTCTTGAAAATGGGTTGAACCACTTCATCTCATTTGCACAAGAAAACCATCAACCTTGCCCAAAACAAGCACCAGATTGGTAAAAATTCAGTCTGCATTTTTATAATCCCAAACGGAGTTTTGTTACAGGATATCGCAAAGTAATATAAGGCAATGTTAACCAAAAGTGGGAGAATAAATTCTGCAATGACACAGCATGTCTCAGTTAAGACTTACTTGTGAGCCCCTTCACGTACTATGCATTGCCAAAAGGCTCACTTCTCAGCAGGATGAAGCCACAAGGTATATTGCAGTACAAGGCCAGAATAATCCCAAACGCAAGTCAGTTCAGACTGCTGAATGACATGCCAAGGGATCTTATCCTGATGCGGCAGGTTAATTGGTTGGCACTCCATGAACGTGGAAGGGTGAAATGCAATTGGAATTCAGATATTTGCATTTAATCGGACAATTAGTTACAGTTGTATTTTGAGACAACTGTAATTAGAGTTATAGCTAATGAGCTAGGAAAATTAATGACAACCAAAAAGCTATCAATCACATACTAAACATGAACATAAACAAGGATGAAAATGCTTCTCTTGTTAGTTTCAAATATATTTTTAATTTAAGTCTGTTAATTAATTTCTCAGGGGTATCAGTCTCTGTGCAGTTACGGAAACCTCTAGCTTCACAACAAGCATTTTTATCTATTATTATGAATGTTTGATCTTATTCTCATTAATTTCCACTTTATTTAGAACAAAGAGGAAGGAATCGTGATTTTTAAACATCTACTGTCTTCAAGAATATCTGTCTGGTGATATTATAAACCCCAAAAGCAAAGTTCACTCTCTTTGTTCAGCAGTTCAAACACTCTCAAAGAATTACAATCTTGCAATTCAAAAGCAATTGTTTCACTTATACAAAACACAAACCTAGCATCCCAGACTCTCACTTGCTGTTATCTCAGCCCACTGTACAGCCCCAAACCACGTTTACCGCAACAATTTTCAATAGTGTCTACCTACCACTACCACAAAAACACTCCTTAAAAATTATCTTGTCCAACCTATTGGCACCAGGAGTGAGATCAGGGGCAGCTTCAGATACTACTGGGTGTTTGTTAGTGCCCTGAAGCAGAGCTGGGAGAAGGGAATACACCCTCAGCTTCTGCACTAATACCCACCTGGGGATTAGTGTATAATCTTCAATGGGGGTCCTGGGAGACCCACTCGGGCGCCGATGGCAGCAGCGGAGGGGAAAACTTGTGTTCCCTTCTGCCAATCCTCTTCTGGAAGCAGCTACTTTCAAGGGGATAAGGGGGGAAAGGACAGAGGGGTCAAGTCCCACAGTCCGCTAGATCTTAAAAGACTTTGGCTAAGGAATCTCAGTTCCAAAAATTGCACAAGCTAACCACTAAAGCACCTCTCATTCCATCTGTAACAACCTATTCTTTTAAAGATGAAGCCAAATTGGTCCAGCAAAATAAAAATCAGCTTTTATTTGCAACAAGGGAAGCCTAACGGGTTGTAAACCATAAGTGCAATTTTACACACATTTTAAGCTAAATAACTGCATAAAGACTACATACACACTATTTTGACCTAAAGAATATTTGTTTTAGTTAACCTTAAGTCAGTTAGGAATCTATTCATGCTATACTGCAATAAACAACTAATCTGAAATCCACAGAGATTTGAGAAGATTAACCTAAATCAATTTAAAACTAATTATTTCAACTGATGCAACTTTCTTAGAAGAATACAATAAATTACTACCCCTGGGAATTTGAGACCTTTTACTCATGAATAAAAAGATCTGGCAGGAGAAGGGAGTGACTGAAAATGGAAAGTGAATGACCATTAACTCAGCCATAAGAAATTCCAATTACCCGCTGAACCACTGTAAATAATGCCTAAGATGCTATCACTCAGTTTTCATCTTGAGTAATGACAAGCCAGATTGATTGAGGATTATTTTTTGGTGACTATGTCAGCAAATTTCCATGGATATTTTGCAAGAATTGCCCACATTCCCACCAGATGAATACATTATTTACAATAACACAGCATGCTTGGGTCCTCCCTAAAAATCTTCAGATAGTTTCACAACTGAGAAAGCTACAGACCTTTTAAAAAATAAGGCATTCATATCAAACGTCTATCTTTCGAATTAGGGAGAGTGGTATAATGCCAGAAATACTGTGAATCATATTTCGATGCAATGACTTTTTAAGAAGCTTCCTCTGCAAGCAGAAGGGTAAACAGTGAAATAAGTAAACTGCTTGGTGCAGCTTTCTACACTAAATAAAGTTCCTGTTTCAAGAGAAATTCTGCCCTACTTTTTCTAGGAATTAACACTAACACGACAAGGGCAGAAGAGGAAGCAGTGACAGCAACTATTCAACATCAATCGCTCTACATTAACCATGATGAAAACAAAGTTCACATAATAACTCTTCCTGAAGTGCTGAAAATTACCCCTTTATATTGCCTGTTCCACCAATTAATCTAGTTCCACCCAGAAGACTTGGATAATGTCCTGGATTGCATGAATGCACCCAGTGATGCCTAAGGCAAACCATATGTTTCAGTAACTGATAGGACAGGGTACCTCCCTAAGACAAAGCGGGCACGGCCTCACCTAGGCTCACCAGAGACTCTTCATCTGGCTCTACTCATGGTCAACAGCTCAAGCTAGCCGTGAACAATCCTCTTTCATGCTACGCTTAAACTAATGCCAGGATCACATGCCTTAGTCCTATTGAACAAAAAAGCAGCCCTAGACAAGAATCCTTCTGAAAGTTGAGAATGAGCACGTTTGCAAAGCTTTCTCCAACTGTAGCAATTCAAGGCACAAATATGAGTTTAAGACTACAAATCTGTAGCTAGCAATCTGAGTGGGTTTCCAAATTATTTAAAAGTTCTACTTTCAAAAAACACGCCCTTTACCGTAAGCATATACACACAAGCAGGGGGATGTTTCATTTTCATAAAGCTAGATCTTTCCATTTTGATGCAAACATTTTCAGCTCGTGTGAATTTAAATAAATCTGTTACTTATAATTAAGGTGTTAAAACCTGTAAGGTGACACAAGATGCATTTCATGTGAGAACTCCAGATGTCTCAACTAAATTATTTAACCATACAGTTCATTAGGTAGAGATAATTCTTTGGTTGGGCTTACTAGGAAGGGCTTCTTATGCCATCACTATGCTCTTCAGAAACACAGAATTAAAAGTCTTAAGTACGGCCAAGTGATGGACGATGTTCTTGCAGTTATGCGAGGTCAAACATGCTTCAAATCCCACAATGAAAAGAGCTCAAGCGTAGCCACAAAATTTCTTATAATATTAAGTTTACACTGACATCAATGTATGCTCTTAAATATCTCATAAGTTCGACATCTACATTACAGTTCTGCTCACAGACAGAGTAAGGTTAGTGAAGCGACTTATCATGTCTGGTTGCAGGAAGAATAATGCACGGAGCTGGTGTGTGCAGCTAGGTTAAAGGAAAAACAGTGATCACTAAGCTTCTTGCATTTCGTTGGGATAATTTAATCTCTCATAAGAAAAATACGAGATGTCATGTAGACTGCAGTAGAATTTCTACTCTTTTAGAATGATTTTTTAAGTGTCAGATAAGGAAAAAGAAAGCAAATCATTTATCCTTGACAGGAAAATAAACGTTGACTTATTAGCTGCTGAGTCACAAGAAAAAAAAGTCCTACGAACAAATGATAAAAGTTGAAACGTAACTTTTATTTGATTCTTGATTGGACTAGGATTTTAAATACCTTTCTAAACTTAAGCTAAATAAAGGCTAAATGAGTTTGAATGCATTCTACTTAAGGGCTTCATGTTAGCATTTCAAATTATTTTGCTCAACGGCATAACTTCTAAAAACTCTGACGGAACAAAAATTGAAGGTATAAGGAATGAACAGCTTTCCTTGCTCCTGCAACGAGATTCATCCATGCAGAACAACTTTCATTATCTTTGTCGAAATTATCATAACTTGTTCCCGGTCTTTCTAAGAGATGTGCATCCACTTTCTAGGTCCACTGCCACCCAGAATCTTCGGTCTGTAATAAATTTTATTTTTTTATTTTTTTAAAACTGATTACCTGAAAATGAAATTGTCAAAATTTGAATACCAACATGACAAAAGGTGAATGTCATAGCTGAATTCTCAAGGGCTCCAAGAAAATTTCTCAAATCTGTTTTACTTGGTAAAGGTAATTCATCGTTGTGGCTGGCTTACTATAACTGGGCAGTTTTTTCTACTGTCATCTTGTTCTTCAAAGATATAAACTCAACAGCACTGTAGCATAAAGTCTGAGCTTTTTCCCTGCAGAGAACTCAGAAGCAACATCTGCTAGAGTAAATCCAACAGAATCACTATCAATGGAAAAAAAACCCACAAAAAACAAAAGCAAACCACCACCTCCCCTCACCTGCAAAACTAACCTGACAAAGACACATAAGGATACTGGAGAAGAAAAACGTCTGGTTTAAATTATGCCTTAAAATGCCATCATGTTTAAGAGCTTAACATGCACAAGACATGCCAGAATTGTGTGCATGTATATTCCATTAAAGGTCTACTTACCTCTCCCACAACTTCAATGATGTCACCAACTTTTAATTCCAGTTCATCTTCATTCTGAGGCATATAACTGAAAGCCACCTGACATCTTCTTCGCCTGCTTCTCTCTCCTGGTGGATATGAAGAAGACAGGGAGATTGTGAAATGAAAAGAATACTCCATGTCAAACCATAAGCCATAGGAAAGGATTAAAGATGAAGTATAATTCTTTGCGTACTTTTAAAACAGCCTGAACATTTGCAATGCTTACCACGCGTACTTAGAGCTAATTAACAAGAAAAGACTGGAGCAGAGCATTATGGGGCATATTATTTCTTACAACTACTTTTATAATTTGATGCGCTTAATATTACACAGCATTTGGGTGAAAATAAATTGTGCTTTTTTTTTTGTTTCTGTAATATTACTCAACAGCCAAAACGTAACAAACAGGTATTGCCTCCGAGTGACAGGATGGAAGAACTTTATCCAGAGGATCGTTCCAGGTATATTTGCTACGATTTCTCTTCTAGATAATGGCCTATGCAGATGGCACAGGCAAATCCAGAAATGGGAAAAAAATTCAAAAACTTGTGTGGTTTTTGCTCAGATGGAAATAAGCTGTCAATTGATCATTTTGCCCTGTATCTTTATTTTTCATAATTCTTTCACACACATACATGCCCCTAACCTTATATAGAGAATATATATGTGTGTGCGTGTGTGTGTACACACATTTAGAAGCTGCATATTATACAGTAATATAAGATTAAAGAAAATAGAAGGAAAAGCCCTTCCAACCCCCCCCCCAAAAAAAAAAAAAAAAAAGCTAGGAGTGTCATTTCGTTAGCGTGCTTAAGGCATGCTAACTTGAATAATCAACCAGCCATGGAGAATGATGTCAGCCGTCTTCAACTCTCCAGCTTGGCCACCCAGGCTCCCATGGAAAGCTGGCGTGAGGGTGCAGCTTTGAACACACAACTGGAGAGAGGCTTGAATTTATAGCCCTGAATAACAGTAAGACCCTTTACTTGACCCTTCTGCCATCACCTTTTTAAGTGAGACAGACAAATGGAAAAAATCCACTTTTAGAACTTTGTTTCTCCAATCCACGACAAACATATAAGTCATAGTTGTATGATTTGCAGCAGAGTAGAGGAGAGAACTTCCCGAAATTACATTGCTGAAGCAAGTGGCTCAGCCTCTGTTAGCTGTGGGACAACACACTGGAGTGAAAGAATCATAACCATGCTGAAATATGGAGAAGGTGGAGAGAGAGGAAGCACTGAAAACTCAGAACATGCTGATTCACCTCTTCTCTAGAAGCTCTGAGAAGCAGGAATCATACTATGTCGTATTATTTTTACATATAGTTGCGCACATGCACACATAAACACATACTCTACACAAAAAATAGTCTAAGAGAAAGTACATTTAACTCTTAAGCTCCTCCAATGCCTATCAAAATCAGCTGTACAAACACTGTCTGAGAATAGCCTTAAACTGACATTAAATTACAAAAACGGATCTCAGGGTCAGCTTGGTATTTCCTCTGCAACAACATTTCTTGATAATACTACCCTAGAATGAACAGGCAATAAAAACTCATAGAACAGTTTGTTTGTTTGTTTTTAAGAAAATTTATTAACTAAAAGTAGAGAAAGAAGGTGGAGAGGAAGGCATCGAATTTGGCTTACTTGTGCGTTATGACATTTCTCACTGCCACTGTAATACTGCATGAAGGACAGCTCTTTCAATGTTAAAATTGATGCCTTAACACAATGTGACCGAACTTGCTCAAATTGGTTTTTTTTTTCCCCACCTACAGATGACTGTTCATTCTTCGCCATCTAAACTAAACTGAACAATTTTACACAACTGCATCTAAAAGAACTTAAATATAAAATAACTATCTTCCATAGCAAAGTGCTTCTTCAACTGTGCAAAAGAAACAGGATGGTTATTTTTCCTAAAGATAACATTCCCACTGTATGATTTCCAACATCAAGTAGTGACTGTTGACAGATGTGACAAATTTTAGTTGCCACAGTACTTTATAAGCAATATTGTGCGACTCTAGGATGAGTATTTTTTGAGATTTTTTTCTGGACAGGATGGTTATTTTTCCTAAAGATAACATTCCCACTGTATGATTTCCAACATCAAGTAGTGACTGTTGACAGATGTGACAAATTTTAGTTGCCACAGTACTTTATAAGCAATATTGTGCGACTCTAGGATGAGTATTTTTTGAGATTTTTTTCTGCCAAGGGATGTCAAGGACAACAAGAAGGGCTTCTTCCAAGACATCAATAGCAGAAGGAAGACTAGGGAAAACGTGGGCCCGCTGCTGAATGGGGCGGGTGCCCTGGTGACGAAGGATACAGACAAGGCAGAGTTATTGAATGCTGCCTTTGCTTCAGTCTTCACTGCTAAGGCCAGCCCTGGGGAATTCCAGACCCTGGGCACAAGAGAGGAAGTCTGGAGAAAGGAAGACTCTCCCTTGGTGGAGGAGGATCGGGTTAGAGATCTTTTG